AGAACTGGCTGTGTCTCCCCCATCAGCCTATGCCCTGAGTGTGGGGAACCAGGCTCCCTCTGCTCTCCAAGCTGAGCCCCCAGGGCTCTGCCTGCAGGCTCCTTCCTGGGCAGCAGGGTGAGGAAGCCCGTGCCCCCTGTCGCCCCACAACAGGCCTCTGATCCTGGTGTGGTGGGCTCCCCCCCACCCCTTAACCACTGCCTGCTTCTTCAAGGACCTGGTCTGAAGGGCCGTGACCGCTGCAACACCCCACCCCGCCCAGAGCTGCTGACTCGGAGAAAATGGAACAAAACGGGGCCGGGAAGGGGGCAATATTGGAAAAACAGCCCAGCCCAGCCATGGGGGCCTCCTGGGCCTGGGAGGAAGCGAGTCGGCCTGGGGCCTGCCAAGTTGGATACGGCCTCCATGAGTCACCGGCAGCAGGGAGCTTGGGCGGGGGGCTCGGGGGCCAGGGCCATGCAGCTGGGGTCAGAGTTGGTCCAAGCAAGGGCTGGGACCACTCGAGGCGGCCAGAGCCTGAGCGGCCCCGGAGCCTGGCCCGGAAGGGGCTGCATGTATCTCTGGCCAGGCGCCCGGCACAGTCCACGGACAGGCAGGGCTCTGATGACCCCCACCCAAGAACACTGTCCAGCCCTGCCCCCGCTCCCAGACGGCCCCTCTCCGGTCTTCATTGCTCTGGGACCCCCAGTGTGAGGGCTGACCACCAGAGTCTCCCTCCGTCGGGGTGCAGGACCCGGTGACCTGCCATGGTGGCTTACAGCTTCTCCTGCTCCGGGGGCTCTGAGGACAGGCCGCCGTGGTCCTCGTCCTGGTCCTGCAGCCGCCTGTCCCTCTCCCGCCGGCGTCGCTCCCGGGCGGCCTCCTCATCGTCCTCCAGACTCCACTGTGTGGTGAGCCTGGGGACACAGAGAGACGGTCACACCTCGGCCCGTACCCTACTTCTCCCACCGAAACAGGCTGTGCTGAGCTGTGTGCGGAGGGGCTGTGTGCCCTCTAGGCCTCAGTTTCCCCACCTTTAAGGCAGAGTTCCTGTGACATGGTCATGAAGGTGCCCGTGGCTGGGGGGAGGTCCTAGGGTTCTGTAGGCATCTGATACCCATGTGCCTCCTGGTGATGGAGGGCCCCCAGTGCACAAGCAGGACAAGACCCTCCATGGCCTTCTACCAGCTGGATCCGTTGACCTGATCAGAGCCAGGATACAGGCCAGCATGGCCCTGGCCCCAGGCAAGGCCCCGGAGGACATGGAGAGGTGTTGCTGAAGGTACAGAGAGCTGGCTGTGGCCACCAGGCAGCTGGTGCCACGGGTCCTACTGAGTGAAGTGGCTGCAGCCTTGGCTAACTGAGCATTACTGGGCCGGGCTGGGGTCAGGCCAGGGGCAGACCCAGCCAGGCAGCACCCCCTACCCCGACCACCCTGACTAGGGTGCACCTTCCTGTTCCCCAGAGAGAAGTTGCCCCCACAAGGACCTGAGGCCCAGAAAAAGGCTGCCTCCAGCGTGGGCCTGACCCACATCTGAGGACCCCGCAGGGCCGGCTCATCCAGCCCGTCCCACCCTCTCGGAGCCCCCCATGGCGTCTCTCTAGGCTGTTTCAAAGACGGGGAAACTGAGGCCCACTACAGAGCCAGGCTTAGGAGAGCCTCCTTCCTCAGCATGTGCTGACACCCACAGCTTCTCGGGGTGCCTCAGGGCTACCCAAGGTTGGCCTGGGACCGGGGGTCCACAGCCTGTCCTCCCCTGCCCCAGCCCAGCAGATTCCTGACCCTTGGTGTCCAGCAGGCATGGCCCTGTTCCTCCCCCCAGCCCCCCTACAACCCAAGAGGGGAGCCCCGGGTCCCCACTGCTGCAGAGCACACTGCCCCACACCGGGGTCTCAGCCCCTTCCTGCTGTTGTCCGCTGAATGACCCCGCAGCGCTATCTGTGGGCCTCCGCCCTGCGGCCTCAGCAGCCAGCGTGTGATCTAATCTCTCCTAAGTCTCCTTGGAGCCTCAGACAAAAGCCAGGCCCCTCCACAGCCCCAGCTCAGGCCCGCTCCCCCGCTGCACCCCGTGGGACCCGGGCCTCCGCATCTCAGGCTGCCCACCCCCAAAGCCCTCCCCCACGGGCCCCAGGGAGCCCTTGATCCTCACACCTGGTCCCATCACGGGGCACATGAAGCCCTGCCTCCCACTCCAAGCCTTTGGCTGGGGGCTGCAGGGCCCCATTCTGTGCGGGAGGTAGAGCCTGGGGCGCTCTCAGGGCTGCTGGGGCCCGGGGTCCCTCCCCCCTCGCGTGCACCAGCAGCCCCTCCAAATGGCGGGTGGGAGCGCAGAGCTGGGTCCCATGCTGTGGGGCGGAAGGAGGGTGCCCACCCCTCTCCTGAGGTAACCCCAGGGGGCTTCCCGGGAGGGTTCCTTGGAGGGGTGAGGCAGCCATTTTGTTCCTCTCGCTCCATGTCTGAGCTGCTCATGGCTGTAGACACGTTTGTGTTGGGGTGTTTGAGTCAATGTGTCATGCCTGGGTGTGTGTGTGTGGGCCCAGGTGGGGTGCGTTCCTGGGCCCAGGTGGGGTGTGTGCTTGGGCCCAGGTGGGGTGTGTGCTGTGGGCCCAGGTGAGGTGCGTTCCTGGGCCCAGGTGGGGTGTGTGCCTGTGCCTGAGCTCCTCCTTGGCCTGGTCTCAGGTCTCCAGGGGCCTTTCCTGCACAGGGGGCTGCTCCCCGGACTCCCCACCAAGCCCTGGGGACGCTGCACCAGCACAGCGCAGAGGCCACACTGGGCCTTGGGTTTAGACATGAGCCAATGCCCTGGGTTCGCCCTCTGGTCGTGGGCCCAGGTCACGGGAGCCCCCTGCAGGCCTGTGCTTGGCTCCCGTACCAGGCGGAACACCAGCCCACAGCACGTAGCTGGGCCTCCCTTGCACACACAGATGTGTACACTTTCTCATGAGCCCCACACTCAGGCCCACGTAGGCACACAGACCCACACTCCATGCGTGGGCCCAGACACCCCCCGCCCCCATGCACACACATGAACACACAGGGATGTGCACGTGCAGCTGAGACACGGGACCAAGGTGAGGGCCAAAGGCAGGCCAGCCCCCCAGAACACTGTTTACTGTTTTCCCAGCCATCGCCCCGGCAACGGCCCTGGGAGAGGCCAAGAAGTATTTTCTGAGAACATCCTCCCTGAGGCCCCTTTGAGGGTCACCCCCTGCTCTTGCCTCCGTGTGGGACCACCCCCGCCAGCCCTGCTGGCCAGGGAGTGGGGGGTGGGGGCAGAGTAGGAGTGCAGAGTAGGGGTCTCCCAGTGTCTCCCCAAAGCCCCGCACTGAGAGAAGCCACCCTGCTAGCAGCCCCTGACCCAGCAGCCCGAGGACAAGGAGCCAGAGAGGCCCCTTCCCTCCCGCCTCCCGCCTCTCCCAGCTGCCCCAGGATGTGAGTAATGCGGCCCCTCCTGGCCCCTCCCATGACCTCAGCCCCTCACAGATCCACAGCTGGGCTCTGTTCTGGGAACTGAGATGGGGGTGGCTCTCTTGGGGTGGGGTGGGGGCCTCTGGCCTGGGAAAGGCGCCCCCGGCCAGAGGCCCAGACCCCTTGGCACGCTCAGCAGAGCTGTCAGGACGCTGGCGACAGCCGGCCGCCTGTGGCCCCAGCTCAGCCGGCTGCAGCTGTAAGGGATTTGCTGTTCCTAAGCAAATGCAATTAGGCGATTTCCTGTGTCTGTTCTGGCTCCATGCTTGAGGCCCAGGGCTCAGCCCGAGGGGCGCGGAGTGGGGCTGTGCACTCCCCTCCCCGTGTCAGGCTCTACTGCGGGGGCCCTGCTCCACCCAGACCCCAACAGGCAGGGCAGGCTTGGGCCTCCCATACTCAGCGGGGGTCCCTGAGTGTAGGGGCTGCCCCCACCCCCGCTGGCCGGGTCTGTCACCTCCGGGGCCCCTGACTCAAGAGGCTGGCCCCTCCTCTCCTTCCTCTGCAGCCCCCAGTTGCCACCGAGGGCCAATGGTGCCAGCCCTGCACCAGGCCTGGCCCCCCCAGCTGTCCCCCCTCCCGCCTCCCCTGCCTACGTGGCTGGCTCCAGAGGGGGCTCCCGGACCAGTCTCCTCTCTACTCTGCCCCCTGTAGGCAGCTAGCGGGCTGCCCCACCTGCCTCTCCGGCGCCTAAATGTCTGCTTAGAGTCGTGGGGAGGGCTTGGGGCCCGGCTGCGGGCAGGGGCCAAAGGGAGGACAGCGAGGCCCAGCCTGTCACGTGGGAACTTTCTCTTTAGGCCCACAGGGGACCCTCCTGACCACAAGTCCCCTGGACGCCATGGGCGGGAGGGGCTGCCCGGGAAGCCTGGGGAGCTGGCCTAGTCCTCCCACCCCCGTCCCCAGCCTCCCTGGGGTCTCCATACACCGTGGACCAGGGAGAACACTTGCAAAGAGAAGGGCCCCTCAAGTGACTGTGGAGGCCATAAGTGAAGGGACAGAGAGTGGAGGGAAATGACCCATGGAGAGGCCTTCTCAGTGCGGCTTCCTTCCGGGGCTGGAGGGGAGCCAGCGCCCCCACCACCTCGGTTGTAGACCAGCCTCCAGGGCGGAGGTCAGGCCCGCTCTCTCGGGGCGTGGGAGAGTGCAGCACTCCCACCCCACAACCGGGGGTGCCCCTCACCAGTTGTGCAATGCAGGGTCCTGCCCCAGGCAGTCTAGGGAGGGTCTGTGGGTATGGCGCTGCCAGGGTGCGGGCTGTCACTAGTCCTCGCAGGGGCAGCTGGGGGTGCAGCTGTGAGAGGGGAGGGCGAGCAGGGAGCACAAAGAATCCTGAGCCAGCTAGCAAGCAGGTGGTGGTGGGTGGGGCGGCAGGAGTGCCCCAGGCGCCCCAGGCAGGGGTGCAGGCGCTTGGCTGCAGCTGCTGGGACCTGCCCCCCACCAACCTGGAGCTGGTCCAGCCCGCCCTCCCTCCAGCAGCACCTTTCTGGGTGTGCCCATGCCCTGCTGGGCCTGGGGGGAGGCAACCCCTGTCCTGTGGGCCAGGCAGACACCCCACCAGGCACCCCACTGCTTAGGGGAGCTCAGTAAGCCACCTGAACTTGGGTCTGAAAGAGGAGCAGGGGTTTGCGGGCCAGGGGGAGGGGGAGGACAAACACACAGGCGAGAGTGCTGGCGGCAGCAGACCCCAGGGTGGCCGAGGCCAGGGTGGGACAGCTGTGGGGAGGTGGGTGGGCAGCTCCGACAGGTCCCACGCCAGCACGGGCCCCATCAAGCCAGCATTCTGCAAGAGGCCCGGCCTGCGTGTGAAGGGGAGGGGAGGCAGGGGTTTGGAGGAAGAAGTGACAGGCTGGGGTGGTGGGGTGATCAAAGGGACGGTGCCCCAGAATTCCTGGGCATTCGTTCTGTGCCCTTGGGGGATGAGGGAGACGGGGAGCTCGAGGGGGTAGGTTTGGGGGAGGCACCTGTAGAGCTTGGGCGTGCAGAGCGTGGAGTGAGGGGGGCCCCCAGAGATGGTCAGTGGGGAGGGACTGCACGTGAGGGTCGCAGACTAACGAACGGGGGAGAGCCCTGGGGGTAAGTCCGCAGGGGCAGGACGAAGCCTGGGGACCCTGCCCGAGGCCCCTCCGGCCTCGCTGTGTAACCCCACTTCTCCTGCCAGACCACCTCTAGGGCACTCCCGCACCGCGTGCCAGTGAGAGCTGAGGCCCAGACCGGTGGACTCCTGGACCAACACGGTCACGCCATCGCTGGGGGCCTTGGTGTCCCCACATGTAGGGCTGACGGAGCAGACCTGTGCCCAGCGCTCAGCTCTGCGCTGGCTCCTCCTGGCGCGTCCCCGTTGTCCTCGCTCCCGAAGGGGCAGAAGGAACAGGCAGGACCCGGAGGCCTGGGGCAGCTGTGGTCTCCGAAGGAGTAAAGGCGGAGCCGCTAAACTGGGGGCCCCAGGGTCATGGAAGGCTCTGAGTAGTGAGGAGTGTGGAGTAGATGGTGGCCGGAGGGGGACATGAGGTGGGCAGCCTGCTGCCATCCTCGGGTGACAGGCTGAGGCCAGAGGGGCAGCGGCGTGGGGCGGGAGGCAGGGCCAGCCTCTGTCAGTCACCCCGTGGAGGCGGGGCTGTGGGGAGGCCTGGAAGCGGCTCCGCCCCTCCAGGGAGGAGAGGGGCTGGACGGACATGCTGTGGTCTGTCTGAGCCCTCTTACCAGAGAGACCCCAGGCCCAGCCTCTAGCTGCCCTCCTATAAAAAGGCGCACTGACCCTGCTCTGCAGAGTGAGAACCGAGACCCTCCCCGGCCAGGCCCAGCTCCCACCCCTTGTGCCCTGTGCCCCCAGGAGGCTTAAGCCCAGCCCATGCCACACACCACTTTTCTCTTGACTCTGGTAGGCCGGCCCTGGGCAGGCTCCCTGGAGGAGGGCACATCTGCCTGCAAAGCTGGCTTCCCCCGCAACCGGAGAGGCGATGGCACCCCAAAGGGCTCAGGCTAGGGGTGCAGGCCTCTACGAGCCCAAAGCTGGCAGGAGAGAGGCCCGCCTGCAACTTGCACTAGGTGCCCGGGGCCCTGGGCAGGGCATCCCAGGGCAGCCCCCAGAGGGGACACAGGGGGCAGCCTGCCCGGCCCCCGGGGGAGGAGGAGGGCTGTGCAACCGCAGCAGTCGGCGTCCCCTCCCTGAGCCCTGCCTCCGGGAGAGGCCAGGGCAGCCTGTTCGCGGGCCTGTCTGCGTCATCGGTGACATTCCTCCAGAGCCACCTGCCCACAGAGGGACGGGTGTGCCTCGCCCCTCTCCCAGCCCAGGTGCACCTCCATATCCCTCCCAGTGTGGTCTCTGCTGGGGCTCTCTGCCCAGCACCCCCTCGTCTTCCTGGTGGGGCAGTACTTGGGGATTCCTGTTTGGGGGACCCCTAGCTGCCCCACCCAGAGCCCCTAAAGCCAAGGACCCCCCTTCTGCACATCTTCCCAGCTGGCCCCCAGGGCAGTCAGGGCGGGGCGGCCTTGGCCTTGGCCTCCGGTCACCAGGGACTCTTCAGGACAGGCTCCGGCCCTTGTCTCATGAGCCACTAGTTTCTCGCCCCACTCGGTCGGGGCAGTCGCCCCACTTCACAGCTGAAGCGTGGGGCTGGAGCCCACAGACACACCTGCCACCGTCCCCGAGTTTCCTCCCTGGGCCGGGCTCTCTGCGCCCCCTTGATAACACCCGATGTCTGCCACCTGCTCCAAGGTCTCCTATCCAGCCCAGGGTTTCGGTCCTCATGTCTCCCGGCTTCGCCTCCGTCTACCCTGCTGCTCCCTCTTGCCCTCCGTCCCCCTTCCCTCCTTCCTGCCAGGTGCTAGGGCCCCAAAGATGGGTGGGGTTTCCTCTGACCCCGACACCCCCAGCTCCACCGACACCACCGCAGTTTTGTTCCAGGGCCACAGAGGAGGTCCCCGAGTCCAAGCTCTTATTTGGGGAGGAGAGTAGCAGGAAGCCCCCCCGGGAAAGGGGCTCCTGTGCCTGGGCTCAGCCCCGAGGGGCCAGAGGAAACGGTGGTGGAGAGGAAGGGGCAACAAATGGATGGATGTGTGGGTGTCTGGGAGACATTGTGAGGGGGCCCCCGCCGAAGGGGGGCAGGGATCCTCACCACAGCTCCGTTCTCTCCCCATCCTGCCTGGACCCCAGATTCGAAGCCCCCATGACCCACAATTCCCCCCACCGGTGCCCCTGGGGAGAGAGTGGCGTGGTGGGGTGTCTTTCCTGTGGCATTGCTGGGGCCACCCTGCTGGTCCCCAGCACCGCCTGCCCCATGCGAGCCACCCACACCGGAGGAACACGACCTCAGCCCGAACTTGGGGACGAAAGGCTGTCCCCGAGCCCCCCTGATACACCTGGCACCCGGGTTCCTGCTGCAACCTTCACCCCACACCTGTGATATGGTGGCTGCCTCGGGCCCCGTGCGGCTCCTGGGGAGGACCAGGCTCCGAATGCCTGTGAGGGCGACCGCAGCCCAGGCTTGCGCATCACACCACCCGGCCCCCAGAGGCATCCAGGCAGCCAGTGGACCTCCATCATCCACCCAAAAAGCCCGAGGGAAGGGCGCTGTGACGGAGTTGCTGCCAACCCGGTGCCCACGCACCGGCGGGCAGGTCCAGCCTCAGGGGGTCTGTGACCCCTGAAACCTTCCTCACAGGAGCTCCACCCTCTCTCAGGCCTCCCTTTACAACTTGGCTCCACAGAACTGAGCCTCGGGCTCTTACGACCCTGCCAGGACTGGAAAATGGGCACTGGGGCCCCCAACCCCCCCAGCCCAGGCTTCCCCGGGTCCTCAGAGGTGAGGCCGGGCACCAGCCGCCTCTGCCCCAGAGTGGGGTCCGGAACTGAGCTTCACGTCCCGCTGACCGGCTGGTCACCTCCCTCCGGCTGAGCGTCCTACCTCTTGTGATGTGCTCCGTGGACGGCCACTTCCACACCTCAGCTCCCATCTGCTCTGACCGGCTGCCCGCCTGGGCCCGGGGTTGGAGGTGAAGGCCTCACCCTCCTCGGGTTTGTTCTGCCCTCGGGTCCAGCTTGACTGTGGCTGGACTGGCCCGTGCTCGCATTCCTCCCGCCGCCCTGCGCACTGCGCACACAGGTCTTCCTGCTCTCCTCCGAGTCACTGACCACAGCACTGCAGGGGCCTGCGCCAAGTGCCACACAGCCCTAGAGACCTTCCCGGGCGCCCCGCCCTCCACACTCAGCATCCTTTGCTTCAGCCAGTCATCCGCCTACACACTGCATCCCTCGGCCCGACCTCCCGGGGACTGGACAAGGGGGCTGACCACACGGCGCCCCGGCTGACCGGCAGCCCGGCTGCATCTCCAGGTCCAGCCCAGTCTCCTCTTGGTGCCGGACGGCCCTCCAGGAGAGCCAGTCGCTCGCGAGCCGGGCTGGGACTGCCTGGCACAGCTCTCGGAGTGCTCACGAGGCCAGGCCTTGGCACGTTCCATGACACGCGACTGGTGGCTGGCACCGACTGGAGCCCTGCCATCCGTCTCCCCTTTCTTCCTGCCCAGAACCCAGATCCACCTCACACCCCTGAATGCCCCACGCATGGCTCTGCCCACAGCCATCGCCAAAATGGCTCTCATGTCAGCCCAGTCTCCGGGTCTCTGGCCGCCCACCTGGGCGGGAGCCTCAGCAGCCTGGCATACGACCGCCTGTCCATCAGCCTCGGTTCTGCCCTCACGGGGAGTCCTCGCCCCCAAGTGCCCAGAACATCCAGACCTTCTGCCTGGAGCCACCACACCATGCCTGGCCCCCAGCCCCCCCTCTGGAGCCATCCTTGCCCCCCAGTGCCTCGGGGCTGATTATTCCGGGGTGCAGGGCCATGGCAGAACAGAAAGCCTGGACTTTGACACCAGGCGGGCCCTAATTCAGTCTCCTTCTTGTCGCCCCCTGGCTGTTCGTCCTTTCATGCTGCAGACCCCATGCCTGCCCCCCCCCGCGCCCCCAAGCTCTGGGCAGGACCCCTAACCTCCTTGGGTCTCAGCTTCCTCAGGTGCGCAGACGGGGACACAGGGCCAGGCTCAGTGGCCCCATGAGACTCCCGTGTACCCTGGATATCCTGCCGGCTGAGGTCAGGTGGACATGCCCCGTCCTCCGCCCCCGCGGCCACTGCCAGGAACTGGGGGCTCCTGCTGGAACTTCCCCATTAAAGGGGCGACGTGACCCCTCCATAACCAGTATGTGACTCCTTCCTCACTGCCGTCTTCCCGCCAGCCCATTCCACACGAGGGAACCCAGGCTTAGTTTAGGGGTGTAATGTCTCCCCGGGGCTATGGCACACGGGGGTTCCAACCCCACAGCTCCTGAGAACAGGTGTGGGAGACCAGGCAGTGACGAGACGGGTCCCCATTCAAGGGTGTCAGTCCAGGTGCAGAAATCGCACACTCAGCCCCCGCGACCCCCTCGTGTGGGGGTTTTCTGTCATTCCCTTCACCCTCTCTCGGCCTCATGGGACCTTCCTTTCTTTCCTTTTGCCCCCCCTTCCCGCCTGCTCCCATCTTTCCCGGAGACGCAGGGACAGACACTAGATGGGGCCGCCCACCCCCTGCTCAGCACCCGCCCTGCCCGGCCCTCTGGCGTCTCCCCTCTGCTGCGTGGGGACAGCGGGGAGGCACTGGCACGCCTTGGTGGCGCCCGTGGCCCCTCGAGCACCCCGTCTCCTGCTCTGTCCGCCCCTCTCCTTGGCCTCCGTCCTGGCCGCGTCCCCTCCTGCCCACCCATCTCCATCTCGTCGAGCCCTGTCCCTGTGCTTCCTCCCTCCCTCTGCCTTTTCCTGCCGTCTCTCCTTTCTGTCTCAGCCCTTCACTCGCTCATCTTTTTCTCTCTTCCACTCCTTCCTCATCGGGCAGCCCTCAGGGCACACGGCGTGCTGGCCCCGAGCCTCACCTCAGGACCTCCCCTGCCCGCGGCGGGTGGCAGCCTTCCCTCACGGCCACGCTCTCGCCTTCTGGGCCGGGCTGGGGTCTGATTCCACTCAGCGCCCAGGGCCAGGGTCCTGCACCTGTCTTCCTGCCCCTCTCGCCCCCAAGCTCTCACCTATAGCCGGGTTCCCACCTGCCTCCTCGACACCTGTGTGGGCCGAACCCTGGCCACCAACCTGTACTGAGCTGCTGTGAGCGTGATGAGGTGTTCCTGGGGGCTGTGCCCCCTCCAGCCATCCCGTGGGGGCCGGGAGCCATGGGGTGCCCTCGCGTGGCTCTGGTGAGGGTACGGGGTCCAGCCCCCAGGTGCCGGGTGCGCCCTGGCCGCTCTGCTGGCCGCTCTGCCTGCTCCTGTTCCCAATCTGGAGCCTGGCCGGAACCTCAGCACTCTGGGCTCCTGCCCTGACACCCTGCCCAGGGGGCCGGGCCACTGGGTCCCTGTACCCCGGGCTCCCAGGGCAGCACCCGCTCTGGTTGACAGACCACCCAGTCCCGAGGCGGCGCCGCCCACCAGACGCCAGGCCCTGCCAGGGCGGGGGCCACCCCGCCCCCAGATCTGGGCCTTGGGTGGGCCTGAGGCAGCCACACCCCTTTGGACACTGTGGTTTGGAGGCCTGGCTTCCCCCAGCCCCCCCGGGCCAGCCCAGCAGGCTGCCGGCCCCAGTCCTTGCTCTGCTGGCCATGGGGGTCCCCAGATGCCTCCTGGGCCTGGCTGCCCCTGGTAGGACAGCCGGGCACAGAGATTGCTGCCGTGTCTATAGTGGACGGATGCCTAGAGCAGTGGCAGAGGGGCCCACACGGAGCTGCTCCAGCCCGCAGAGTCTCCTGTGCTGGGACTCCGAATGACACAAGGACGCCAGCCAGGGTGACTCGGCCAGCCCCCTTGATCTGTGCCAGCCCAGCCTCCACCTCACAAAGCCAGGTGCCCAGCGACTCTAGGACCAGGCAGGCAGCCCAGAGTCTAGGTGGCTGCTGGCAATGAGCTGGCCTAGGGTCCCTTTCCTGCCTGCTCGCTGTCCCTAACACCGGCCTGGCCTGATGTGAGCCGTGGGAGAGCCTTGAATGGCCCAGGGGCAGCAGCAAGAGGGGGACAGGGGAAGGGACAGAGTTGGCATGGGGGGGCTGCAAGAGGTGGGGGCCAGCCCCGGGGGTCCGGGCCTGCCAGCCTGAAGTGTCCTGCTGGGCAGAGACAGCAGGGGAAGGAAGCCCCCCCATCTGGGTGGCCACAGCCCCGGAATAAGCCAGGTGTAGAGAGAAAGACGCATCGGGCAGGGAGGGTGGGTCCTCCTGGCCTACGGTGTCATTTGCAATCCGCTTAAACTGGATCCAACTTACACCCTGGCTGCTGCCCAGCCTGTCACAGAAAGAGGCCGCATGGCGTCCCCCTTCCCGCCCTGCGCCCAGGCGCGTGGGTGCTGGGAGAGTCCAGGCAGTCCATGGTGAAGAACCGGGGTGAAGTGGTGGGTGAGGGAGGACGGGTCCCCAGCTCCCACAGTGACCTTGGACAAGTCACCAGCCTTTCTGAGCCTGGTTCAACTGTCAGGCAGGGGGCAGGGGTCTGTCTGCCGGGGCTGGGAGTTCAATCCCTTAGATACAGAGAGATGCTAACCATGGTGCGGGTGGCAGAATGTCACCAGCCTGGCAGGAGTCACGAGTCTCTGTGGGTGTCGCCAGGTCGGAGGCCGGGAGGGTGTGCGGGTTAGCGTTCTCCCCACACGTCCGTGAGCATGTCCACCTACAGCTCGTGGAGTTACTCACAGCAGCGGGACAGACACACTCGGCCTTTCTTTACGAGGGACTGTCCTCTGCTCCCCACCCACCCTTGCACAGCCGGAGTACCCAGGGAGTGCAAAGGGACACTTTCTACTGCCCAGAACCACTGGCTGGCCACCGCAGGCCCACCTGCCCTGCCCGGGTGCTCAGGGGCTCGAGCCCAAGCCTGGCCCCACCCTCAGCTGAGCTGTACCCTCCATGCCTGTCAGTGCCTCACCCAGGGCAGCAGCCTGGCACTGGGTTGGGCCGAAGGCAAAGCCACAGCTAGATGGATGCTTGTGGCCAGGCCCTTCTGTGATGAGGGGCGTGTGCCCGGCCAGGCCCTGGGTCTCGCCCTGTCATTGTCCAGAGGGCCGTGCTGTTCCCCTCTCAGGCCTCAGTTTCCCCTTTGTTAAGTGGCACTGGTTAGCT